CTGTCACAGAACCAGGGGACTTATGTTTCCTCATCGCATGTGGTTTTCCCCTGAACTCTGTTTAACGCAACGCAATCAAATGGCACCAGCAAGCCGTGTTTAATTTTCGATTGCAATGCATGTGCTAGCGGAACCTCGTTTTTGGGACCGTTTTTGGGGGGTGCATGTTCAATTATGCGTCTGTTAAGATCCCCACCCACCCCCAAAAACACGCACACAAAAGCGGTTGTTGTCCTTATCTAAGCCAGCCCAAGGGCAGCCTTAGCGTGCAGTTGGAACGACAAGCTCAGCAGGGCCAACCTCCAACGCCATGTCTTTGTTGCATTTTGCTTGGATGTTAGGACTTTAACTTTTTGCCAATTAACGGGGGTTTCCATTAAACCGCTAAAAGTTAAACTTTTAGCAGGGGAGCAGAAAGCAACATAAGCAACCAAGATGTCCTTCAGCTTCCCCAAGCGAAATTGGCAAACATAGGGCCGCCGAGGTCGCTCACCAATTCCCGCGTCTTGCGAAAGACGAACTCGCCCGTGGGGAAAACCTAGGGATTTGGGTGTGTCTTCTTGAGGGCCCTTTTGGTTCGGTTCAACAGGGGCTCTGAAAGGATAATCGACAATTCTGGGTGGGTCAAAGTGCCTCAGACGTGGTTGCAATCCCTGGGAGGGGTTGGCGCTCAAAATGTTCAACTGGCTTGCTGCCTGGCTACACACTAACTTCCATTTGCGTAAGAATATGTGTTATTCTATGTTATTTTCCCCTGTTGGCTTTAAAGGGAAGCTATCACTACAGCGTTTCCGTTTCTCCAGAAAACTTAGGCAAACAGAGGCTCAGCTTGACTCTTGATATGGGAAGTCTGTGCAGGTCGTTTGGGCCAGTGAGCGTATGTTCACAGGGTTCCATTCTGTCATGATTCCAGGGACGGGGGCAAGCTGGGGATGTATTACTGAGCAGCTTGCCTTTCCAGTGTCTGGGGTTGATATTTTTTGGGATGGCCATGTCAGTGGTAAACAAACAAGTTGACGTGTTTGGGCCACTTCACTGAGGTGCTGTGGGTACATGGCGGGTCCTTGGTGCGATCCCAAGGCCTCCAAACGGCTTTTCATGCTTTTCCCACACCTACAAAAGGTTAAAGTTAGCGCAGGCAGCGCAGGGAGCAACCAGGGTTTAACATTAGCGGCCATTGGTTCATGGTTTCCTCCGTGCTATGGCGGACTTGTTTTTGAAGCACTCTCTTGTTTTGGCGAGGGTTTCTATTTTTTGCGGGAAACTGGAGGAATACGGCCGGCAGCCCTGACCTCAGATCGGCTCGCCAAGGCGTGGTGCAGCCAAAGCCCGCCGCCACAGTGGACGGGGTTCCAGGACTTCACGGGTTTGACGGGATTCGGGCCACACGGGTTTGACGGGCCTCACGGGCCTCGCAGGTCGCGGTTGTGACGAGATCAACCCAACAGTTAACAGGCTCGACGTGCCTGACGGGCTCCACGTGCTGGGTGAAGCATAGATAGACAGAGAATCAGATAGAGATTTAGACAGATAGGAGAGATCGCTGGAGACACAAAAAGTGGGATTCGGTTACATTACATGGATAGATAGATAGATAGATAGATAGATAGATAGATAGATAGGTAAACATATAGATAGATAGATAGATAGATAGATGGATGGATGGATAGATAGATAGATAGGTATACCAGATAGCTGAAGTTGTAGATAGACAGATGCATACATAGAGGGATACATAGATATATAGATAGGAGAGATAAGTAGGTAGAAGGATAGAAAGATAGAGACAGAGAGATAGACAGATACATCAGTTGGATTACATTAGAACAGACAAACAGATAGGCAGACAGATGATGCACTAGATTATATTAGATTAGGTAATCTTCCTCCCTAACAATTCTAATTTGAGGGGGGGGGGGGGTTGTGAAACACGAAGGGGCCCAAAATAAAAATGTTCAAAGGGGGGGGACCCCGACCAAAACGGTTCTCCCGCTTGCGCCTGGGAGGACATTATGGGGCCCCTCCCAAAACTGGTGCCTCTAAAAGAAATTGCTGGAAAACCGCCAGGAGAATCACAACGCTTCCAAGTAACTACTGCTTGCGGGCTTTGAGCGGCCACCAAGCCGAACTGTCATCCCAGAAAAGGGTTGCATTTTTCTGCAGGGTTGGGGTCCACAATTGAAATATTTCAAGGGCTACCCCCCCAAAACAAGACATATTTGCCCGTGTCGTTGGCATGACCAGAGCTTAAAGCACCAGTTTTTCCAAAAGCGTCTCTGACCCGACGGGCTCTCGCGTTTGCGTAGCGTGCTTCCGCGATGCGTTCATGGGGTGCGGGCGGGAGCGCTCGTGGGCGCGGACAGGGCCGTGCCCGTGAGATTCCACACTCCGCGCCCAGCGTGGGTTGTCAGCCAACAGCCTCAGGTCAAGCTCAACCGCGCCGAAAGCCACTGACAAATTGGGTATATCACTGTTGTATTATGTGTGAGGTGGGGGAAGGGCGGGTTGACCTGGATTTTTGCATGGCATGACTGCGCCAAATAGTGACCTTACCAACCTTACTCACGAAGGTCGCGCAAGAATGAAGGCATCCCGCCCGCGACACAAGCGAGGGCGACCGCCAGTTCGCTGCTTGAAGCACAAACTGCTGAAGCGCTCGCCGTCATTTTCAACCACTCTTGGCGCAGAAGTAAGCTGGTTTCACCTGCATACTGCGTGCGCCACATGCGGCGCGTACGTTTTTTTCGGTTCTCCAAGGCAAACGCATGGTCGGGCAGAACCTAAAGCTCGCAACCTTAGTCCGCCTGTCCCCCATGTGAAGCAAGTCCGTTGCACAAGCCATCAAGTTGTTCTTGGGTTCTGGGATTGTTGAACTACCACAGCAAAACATGCTTGACTACGTGCAAGTTTGTTTGGAAGCCTGGTGCTCCTCGGCCCTCAGGCTCGCAGGCTGGGTCCTTGCAATGCTGTCAGAAAACTTCCTTCACAGCTGACAAGGGCTGTGCTAAGGCTCGCGGCAGCGCGTACAAAGCTTAAGTGTAATCTTGCAGGCGCTGTGCCTCTGCATGTTCCCCCCGTCGCACAAGTGATAAACGAAGTACATTTCTAGGCGCCGATTTCATGTTCTGTGCGTGCAGCTGCCTCAAAGCACTCATCACTGACTGGCAATCACGAGGCGGACGCAGAAAGCGCCAAAGAGCCGTCAAAAGATGCAGAAGCTTCTTCCATGTGTGTTCGACGCTTTCCTGAATCCACTTGGATGGATCACAGCTTCCAAGACTGCACTGACCAGCTTTCATTATGTTTCATTCCCTTAATTAATGTCCACCTACGCTTAGTAAACTACCCCTAAAAACAGCTAAACGTGTTCCCAAACCAAATAATAAACTACCCCTAAATAAAGCTAAATGGGTTCCCCCAACAAAATTGCTCTGATCCTTTTTTTTTCAGGGGCAAGCTTTCCATTCAAGCTGGCTCATCAAAAAATGATTCCAATTCCATCAGATCCCAAATTCTTGAGTGATTCCCTTCATCAAATTATTTTTCTAGAAACCCTCAAAAACACAACTTGACCCTGCCAGCAAGGCTACCCCCCATGAAGCCTCATGCACTAAATAATTCCTGACCCTAAATAAAGCTAAGCTGATTTCCACTGATCCAAAGATTGCTTTGATCCCTTATCTGTATTCGGGGGCAAGCTTTCCATTCAAGCTGGCTCATCGGCTCATCAAAAAATGATTCCAATTCCATCAGATCCCACAATTCTTGAGTGATTCGCTTCGTCAAAATCTTGATCTAGAAACCCTCAAAAGCACAACTTGACCCTGCCAGCAAGGCCACCCCCAATGAAGCCTCATGCACTAAATAATTCCTGACCCTAAACAAAGCTAAGCTGATTTCCACTGATCCAAAAATTGCTTTGATCCCTTATCTTTATTCAGGGGCAAGCTTTCCATTCAAGCTGGCTCATCGGCTCATCAAAAAATGATTCCAATTCCATCAGATCCTAAAATTATTGAGTGATTCCCTTCGTCATTTTTTTCTAGAAACCCTCACAAGAACAACTTGACCCTGCCAGCAAGGCTACCCCCCATGAAGCCTCATGCACTAAATAATTCCTGAGCCTAAATAAAGCTAAGCTGATTCCCACTGATCCAAAAATTGCGTTGACCCCTTATCTTTATTCAGGGGCAAGCTTTTCATTTAAGCTGGCTCATCAATTCATGTTTCCAATTCCATCAGATCCCAAAAATTCTTGAGTGATTCCCTTCATCAAGTTCTTTATCTAGAAACCCTAACTAGTATTCCCCCCAAAGCAAAATTAGAAACACAACATGCTCAATACTACTTTAGAATTGGCCCAATTCTAAAGTAGTATTCGAAACCAAAAAAACAGAGCCCAATACTAAACACATTCTAAACTTTTCCCGACCCTGACTCTTTCCCCTTAACTTTATTTAGGGTCATTCAGGGGGGGAGAGGCCCTATTTATCGATCAGATTCCATGGGTGTCAAGCGGTCTGGTTGTTCAGGGTCTTCGCCCACCATGAGGGCGGACTTTTGACCAAAAGCAGCCGACGAGACCGGCAATCAACAACCATTCTCCTTTGGTGTCCAAAGCGCACCAGAGTAACACGTATGTTGGTTTCGGTGCATCGCGATATCAAACGGGCCAGCCTTGAACTCATAGGCTGGCCTTGGACCCATAAAGTCGGCCCCAATCTTGGCTGAACAGAGGGCACCCCCAAGTCATCAACCTCAATTTTGGGGATGGTATGACATTCTGGGCCCTCTTGACAATGCTGAAGTATTCGCAGCAGGTTCGGCCCGCTCTAGGATTGCTTCCACGCCTGCCAGTTCCGTTTCCGCGACTGCCATCAGCTTCCTGGTCGCAAAGTCTTCGATGCCAAATCCAAATCATTAGGGAATCCCAGCTATTTGATCAAAAGGACACCTACGCTCAGTTGGCCAAAGCGAATCGACTTGAAAGTGACCTGACATTTTTTTGTGATTCGGTGATAGAAAAGGTGGTCGGGAATCAACAGGCGTGGGCCTTGGGAAACTTGAGGACGGTTACAGATTCCCTTAAGAACCAGCTTGCGCAATCCGAGCTGCTCAGAAAGGTGAGCCTTTTCAGCAACGGCGGGAGGGATGAAGGGCTCCTGCAGCCAGTTGATCTTTTGCTTAGAGCCTTTTTTCGCACATGTGCAAGGAAGCACGAAGAGGTACTTTTTCCTTAACGTGAACACTTTGCGATGTGATCTGTCCGTATCTCTCACCGTTCGCGCGCCCCTGCAGGCTCGGGTGCGGGGTCTGCCGGGTTTCCCCTGCGAGCTGCGACGGCGTTGCGGACAAGCTGGTCTACGAAACTTTGGCTTTCCCTACTTGTCTTTCAGATGACCCGGACCCCTCTTGGCATTTCGGGAGAAACCAAGAAGGAAACCATTGCTGCTTGAAACAACACAGTTCCTTTCTGTAGATTTGGGGGCCTGCAGTTTGCAGGGCTGCAATTCGTAACGCATGTCAAGTATCTTAGATTGTTCAGGCTGAAGAATCTCGGGCAACTGGTGTCAAGTCATGAGGAGGCGCGCCGTTCCTCTCTTGTTGTTGGATTCAATTGGGCACCCCAGCAGGCGCGACGCTTTTGATGTCACACTCTTACGTGTCGCAATCCCCCACGCCCGCCACACGCGCCCGAAATCGCTGTTCCGGATTGTGTTCACGAAGGCGTGTCTTTCGTGGTTGGTATTCTTGAATTTGGCCTGATTGCACATATAGGTTGCCTAAAGATACTCATCACTTACTTACTTTGCGAATCGAACATCCAAGTTGCTGCAGGGAAGGGGAACATTTCAAGCGTTCCTCTGAGGACCGCTACGGCAACCAACAACACATGAATGCGCCCCCTGCCAGGCGGGCTATGGTGAAGGGCTGTGTGCAAGTCAGTGCTGGCGTTCCGTTTGGACACCCCATTGCAAATGGTCAATCCCATTGGTGCATTTGCGCGTGCCCCAAACCCACATAACTTGCAGGAGCCCATCGCCATCCATCCCCACAGCGGTCGCGGGTCCAAAAATCCTCATCATGGGGCGACTTTGTCACCCAAGAACGCTGGTGCATAGCTGAATGCTTGATTGAGAGACGGAGTCAAACACATCCAGCATGCAAGGGCCTTGTTGAACCCTTCTGCCAATCTCCTCATGACCTGGCGCTAGGTTGTAGAAAGCTATTGCAGAATTTTGGGGATGTTCTGGAAATTGTCTTTAGCACCTGGAAAGAGTGGTGGGTTGGTCACAGCCGCTTTGTCAGTGATTTTTGGCGACGGTTTGGGGAGATTTCAAAGTGGCCAGGCACTATTCCTTCCTCGACGCGTGCGTGTTGGGGTGCCAGCGCTATGTAAACTTCAAGAGTGGTGGTGGCCCCGCGTGCAAGGCGCAGAAACCGGGTGCATCCTCGCATGTTGTGTTACTCAGAAAAACCAATGACCACTGAAGAGGGATGACTTTCACGGTCAAATAAAGAGGTCACAGGCACTGCAATTTAGGAGGAAGCGCGGCACGCGCCCTTTTCTGACCGCAGTGTTGATCGTGTCACAGAAGTTGAACCAGCACACTGCAGGATAAAAGCGTCAGTTTGTGCCTGTTTTACATTGTTTTTGGTGGGCAAGACAGCCCTCCACGGTCCAGCAAGAGCATTTTTAGAGGCCACCACGACTAACCGTTTGAGCATCATGATTTCGACATTTGCAGATGTTGGCTTGCATGAGGCGCCTTTCACGCGCGGCTGTGCTTTCATCGTGACACATGCTTGTGTTGAATTTGATAGGCTGCGAAAACTTGAGACTGTGGCTTTTGGTCCATCAAGTGTGCGGTATACGTGGGCAGCTTGCCGTGTCTTTCACTCGAATGTGATCCTTTGAGCGTTCTTGTACTTGACGTGGCTTTGATTCAGGCCAACTGGCCAGTTGGTTCTTCTGTGCTGGCAAGCTGCCACGGGGTGTTTGAGAACATCGGGGGCCTGATTTTGTGAATGTAGTGCTTTTCGGCAGCGGTTGCAGTTTGGCAGCCGAGCAGAAGCTTTGACTGTTTGAGTTTATGCGGGCTTCCACTTAGACATGGCTGGCTTCGGCAGGTGTGTGTGCGTGAAAAGAAGCACTATTTGAGAGGAGATAGTTGAATTGCATGGAGTTTGCACCACAGCCCTTCATGCAACTTCCTCTTCACAATGCGGTTTCCTAAATTCGTTGTTGAACAAGCCTGTCAAGGGATACGTCCCCACCAAACACTTTTGGGGACGTATCGTTTTGGCGTACGTTTTGGCTCAAGGAAAAAGAGCGTGCGCTGCCTTGCATCCTGCGTCGCGAGCCTGATGGCCTTTTATCATCACTTTTACTTGATGTTTTGGTGAGTTCAACTGGTTATCAGCCGCATTGAGCGTCTTCTACCTTGTCGCCTTCCTCATATTTCACTTGTATCACTTGTATGCCCAGGGGCATTCGCGGAGGGAAGAAGGCACGAGCGAGAAGGGAGCCGGATCCGCAGAAGGCGAAGGTGCGGCACGCCGACGGGTCTTAGGGGCCTGGGCACACCCGTGCAGGTTGGGTCAGTTCGGACTCGGAGGCGGAGTTGCAGGCTCTGATTTTTGAGGAGCCCGAGCTGGCGCCGGAGCTGGGTGCCTTGGCTGCTTCGGCGCCTGCCCCGCGCTTGTTGGTCTGGGAAGTTGACGAGTCCGAGAGCGAGGAGCGTCCGTTGCCCTCTGCTTCTCGGCCGTCAGTGACTGGGTTGAGACACAGGGGACTTCCTTCACAGGACAGGCGTCCGTCCCTTCCTTGGCACGGGCTTTGCCTCGCCTTGCTGGGTCTGGTTCGGTACTGAATCGAGCTCTTCGCGAAGCTGTGCAATCGAGGGGGGATGCTGGGTATCAGGAGCCTTTTGGTGTTCGAGATTTGGTGTCCGGAGTTGAGGGTGTTGTCATCTCCTTCGATTATCATCGGGTTTTGGACACCGATCATGAGCTCAGGCCGCCGGAGCGCGTTGGATTTTTGGCCGATGACTGCCATCTTCCGTTGAACGTTTGCGCTATCCTGGCCTCAACGTTCGTGCGAACGACAACTTTGTCGGAGCAGTGAGGGCGCTTTCTCACGAGCGTCGCTATACCTCTTTTAACCGTGCAATTTTTTGTACCCCAGAGGTGTGGCCCGAAGGGGAAGCTTGAGGCCTTGACATCTATTTATCCGCGCGCTACAACGTTCTTGAGGGGATCAACTCCAATCGTTGGTGCACGGCTATTGGAATCAGGGTGCCTCGCAAGCCGCAGTGCCCATTGCCGATGATTCAGGTGATCTTGGATCAGCGTCACCCGAGGAATCTTCGTCGGTGATTCCGCCATTTGTGGGGACCAGCCTCTGCCAAGTGTGTGAAATAGCAGCCTTTGTGCGATCCCGGTAGCTGCATGATCATTTGCATATTCATCCCTCATTTGCCTTTCATAGTGCGTGCCAGCAATGTCGCAATCATTGCCTGACAGAACAGACTCTTTGCAAGTGTCGTCAGGCTCTAGATCAAGGTCCCTTGTAGGTCAGATTCTCGGACATCGGGGCCGTACGACTATATGACCTTCAGAACATGTTCAGTCTGAGGAAATGGTACCCATGAATCAGCTTTTGAGTAGCGATCCGAATGATGTGAGCTCGGACCAACCCCAAATTCCTCAAATGACAGGTTGTCCAACAGTTCAGCAGTTTAATCAGCTCAACAACCTTGCCTGAGACTCGACCGCGAACATCCTTCATCAACAGACGAGCACGTGTCGTTGATGAAGCCCGGCAAGCTGTTGACCATGCCCGCCAATCCGATGTGAGTCAACGTAGGAGGGCTGAGGCAGCTCAAGAGATCTATGACCAAGCCAGGCAGGAAATTGCTAAATTGGTCCAGCAGATTGGTCATCAACTTGAAGTCATGAACCCAATGAACAAGGCCCTTCATGAGAGGGCAGCAGCAAATGCTCAGCCATAAATCCCAGATTGAACATGAGGTAGCTTCCAAAGATGCCCTCATTCAGCACATAACTCATCAGATTGAACGTCTGCAGCCTCAGGATGAAGGGACATCAGCAATCCCACGGTCAAAAGCCCATCAAGGATCAATGAAAGGCAGGTCATTGAGCACATCCGATTGCGCGGCGTCTTTCAGATCTTCGGAAAAGGTATGGATAATAAGTGATAGTATCTTGGGTTGATAGCTTCGGCTCCTCAAGGTGCGACCCTTGGACTTCATGATTTCGGTGTTGTCGAGGCTTTCCACTTGAAAGGATTGTCGTTTAAGTCGTCTGTAGCAGCAGTGGTTGAATCACTGATGCACCTCACCATGAATTCATCATCTCATTAATCCGGATGAGGTAGTCATTGTCAGAAGGACTTGCCCGGTCTACCTCCGCATCATGTAAAGCAAGAGGCGGGAGTTGAATTGCATGCGGTTTGCACCACCTCCCTTCATGTGACCTCCTCTTCACAATGCGGTTCCCTAAATTCGTTGTTGAACAAGCCTGTCAAGGGAAACACTTTTGGGGACGTATTGTTTTGGCTTACGTTTTGGCTCAAAGAAAAAGAGCATGCGCTGCCTGATGGCCTTGTATCTTCACTTTTACTTGATGTTTTGGTGATTTCAACTAAGATGCGGCGTTCTGCGCCGTGTTGGCAGACGTGGCGGGGCAGCGGCAGTATCATTGACGGCTTACAAGTGACAAGAACGGAACTCACCCCCCCGTTCCCCAACACTCCCCGCGTATGTTAAAATCATCTTTTTGGCATACGGCCGGTTGCCCCCTGTAGCGGGGTTCTTGGATTCTTTAAGTTTGGAAAAAAGAAACATCCCCGCAACCCTCTGGGGTCATCTAAGAAGCGTTCGGGTTTTCGGTGTTATGCTCTTCCGTGTGTGTTGCGTTATTTCCCCAACTGCTGGCTTTACCAGGAAACAGTCACTGGCTGGCACACGCACGTCTCAGGTGGGCATCAAGCTGATGCAGCACCGCCACAAACGCCCGGAATAGTGAAGGCTTAGATTGATCGCTGTCCAAGAGGCGGTACAGGGGGGATTTATGGGTTGTCGCTCCCCCTTTTCGTGAGGTCATGAGTGCTCTGATCGATTTCACCAAACTCACTAATTTGCATACGTTTTTTTGTTTCCTGTCACATATTACATGCTCAACAAATGTGTTTCAGAGCGGTTGTGGCTGCAAGCAGCAAGCTACCTTTCAGCAGCCTCGATACGTGGATCCCGTGCCGGAAAAGCGTGTCAGGTCGAGCGGAGTGCTTGGACACAACCAGAATCAGACATATCGTATTGCAATCGGCACCAAGAACCTGAGGGTCGTGATGGTGCGTTTCCGGTTTGCTTTCAACATGAAAACATGTCCCAGACCTTCAGCACCAAAAACACGCATGTCTCACAATCGCTGCCCCCTAAAAAGTTGGTTTCCTTTTGGTTTCCGTAAAAACGCCAACCAAAACGTGAACCCCAAACATCATGGCAAGCACAGTCCTGCAGGTCGCCAACCTGCAAGCCCCAACCGTCACCCAACAGTCATGCACAGATGTGGCGCAGGCGCCCGAATGCATCAGCAGCATCGCCTGCAACTGTGGCGCACGGTTTTCCTCCGCAGTGGTCCACTCAACTGCAAGCCCTGCCGATGCTCAAGCACATCTTCACAAGCATAGCCCCAAACCCTGTGAGACTTGTTGTTGCTTCCCCGGCTAAGGGCATCTACCACTGGATTCGTTCCAGGGGACATCAGCAAATGGAAGGTTTGGTTTCTTTTTACATCTCTCATTCCCCGCGCCGATCGCCAGGACCCAGAAGCCCATAGAGTCGGCTAGCGGTTGCTTCCCAGGCGCTCCTGTGCAGATGCCCCGAATCAACCCCGTGCCCAAGTTCTCTCTGAAAATCCTCTGGTGCCTGTTTTTGCTTACTGTTTGCGTGTTGTTGGTTTCGTTCATGTGTCAGGATGTAGAGGCAGACACATACATATCAACTACCAGCCAAGGACTCATTGCACCGTTTCGGAAACGCGGAGGTGAATGTCAAAGTTGCCCATCACTTGTTTTCAGCTTCCGAGTTGGTGGTTTCGATTGGAGGGCTATTTTTATAGGATGTTAGAACTTTGCTTTTGTTGTGTTTCATGGGTTTATGCGCTTTTGGTGGCTGATTCGGCTTTGGCTTTTCGCACCCTCTGCATTCCCACTTCGTTTATGCGGCTTTTTCAGCTTTTCGGGCTTTTGCTTTTTGCATCCTCTGCTTTCCCAGTTGGGTTTTGGCCTTGGCTTCCCGCATCCTCAGCATCATCGTTATGTTTATGTTTTGTTTATGTTTATGTTTATGTTTATGTTTATGTATGTATGTATGGGTAGGTGGGTAGGTAGGTGTGTTGGTATGTAGGTGTGTAGGTGTGCAGGTATGTAGGAATGTAGGTACGTAGGTATGTAGGTATGCAGGTATGTATGCATGTATGTATGTAATTTGTGTAATCTGTATATGTATGTATGTTTGTACGCATGCGCTTCTTCGAACATCACGGTAGTTGAATCATCATCACTTGTTCGATCATGACGGGGCTACTTTTTAGTTTCTTTGAGATTGATTTGCAGCCCCCCCCCCCCATGCTTTCTTACATACATACCTACCTACCTTGCCGGAGAGGAACTGATGATTCTGAGGATGTAGGAAGCCAAGGCAATATACAGCCACCGCTACCCATGACCTGCTGGTGATGCTGGCGGGACACGGGGGGTAGTGTAAAATACATACATTTCGTGAGAACATGCTGTAAGATACAACATGTTACTGGCCAAGATGAAAAAATCTAAGAATAAATCAAAAACCACACTATTTTTTCTTGACCCGTTTGGATTGATGGTGGTTAAGGAGGGCGTTCTTGCACAAGCCGCACTTGCGACTCTTCCGTTTCCACAGGGCACCATCCCGCCGGGTCGTATTTTGGTCGTCCCCTAGAGCTGCGTTCAGTTCTCATTACTCAGCAGCACCTGGTGGAACTATAGTCCCTGACATTTACGCTTGATTGCAAGCTCACCTGTTGGCTGCCATAGGATGCGTTCTCCTTTGCAACATTCAAGCTCCGCCAGCGTGCCCGAAAGCCCCAGACAACCCCATGAAACTTGCCAGGTCGTCCTTGGCCGAGGACGGGCTGGGCTGAACAAAAAGCATTTGGCACTTCTGAAGGGAAAGAACTTGCAACGCACTTAATGCCACACCTGCATTCGCATTTCTTGTGTTTCTCTATAAACTCGGCATCTCAATTTTCCTTGGCTCTCCAACCACCGGGTAGCACGTCTCACCAAATGCTTACGGCCCTGTGAGTCGGGGAAGACAAGTTTCGGAATCTTCCGTGCGATTCGGATGTTTCCCCAAAGGCCTTGCGAGCCCATATCAAAGTCCAATGTCTCCATATGTGTTTTGTTCCTGGCAAAAATGAGAAAAACATCCGGTAGCAATAATTTCCTTAAACGAGAGGGGGGAAGGAGAGAAAACCTCGGTACCACGAATGCATTATTGGCTTTAATCTTGTCTTCCCTTAATTACCATATTTTTGGTACCAAGGAACACGTCTCCATGTATTTTGTTCAGGCTAAACAACCCTAGGAAACCAATCGAACAATTGGGCTTTCAATTCCTTGCAATCCGCAAAGTTTGTCGAGCCATGTATGAAACTTGGTGGTTCCCAGCCATCCCCTCAAGTTTTTGGATCTTTTTTGTGTTTTGTGGTAGTTTCCACTCAGCAAAAAGTTAGACTTTAAGCAGGCGATCTGGGAACAGCCCAAGTAAAAGCTCTGCTTTGCTTACAGGACCAGAACGGGGTCCTTTGCGCCCCTGAGTGTATACAAACACATGGTTGATATGTTCCCCTGTGATCCCCTGTGCGCTGGTAGAAGGCACCTTTTCGGCCAGATGAAAGTGATCCGATTATGATGGGGTGATGTTCTATGGGTGCCGTTTCTGGGTTGGCTTAAAGAGAAACAGGGTTAGCCCAAAAACGGCACAGCCAAAACTTAGGGAATCTTTAAGTTTGAGATGTAAAGAATGTGGTGTGTTCGCCGTTGAATGACTGACCTATCACGCAATCGCAATCCGCAGCCGTTTAGTGGAGAGAAGATGTTGTTCTGTGCAAAATAATTCCATGGAGCTCATGTTGTACCCTGGCTGCGTACAGTGTGGGGAACGCGGCTTGAGCAAAGCGCCCGCACACCCCCAAAAGCCGACATGGGCCCAGAATGCCCCATTAAAATCCGGCTGGTGGACGGACGGGCGACACCCCCTCCTATTTGCCAGGTCTATTCATCCGTCCGGGGTGAAAATAGGATACGTGCTGTGTAAGCCAGCCGCCTGGGGTGACTGTCCAGAGCCGTCCCTTCCATTTTGCTCAAGGTGCTAATTACGAAAGATGTTGGCTCAAGCCTTGTTCGCCATCTGGTAAGGGGTCAAGGATTTTCGGGGAAAATATCGAATGCTAGTGGGGTCAAGCAGCACCAGACGGTGCTTGTGGTTCCCCATGGGCAGTGATCAACTTAAGACGCGTGTTTTGTCTTTCCCCCCCTCCGTACGGTGGTAAGAATCTGCATTCCCAGCATAATCAGGGCTGGTTTGGCGGCACGGCTGTTGTTGTTGTTGTTGTTGTTGTTGTTGTTGTTGTTGTTGTTGTTGTTGTTGTTGTTGTTGTTGTTGTTGTTGTTGCTGCTGCTGCTGCTGCTGCTGCTGCTGCTGCTGCCGCCGCTGCCGCTGCCGTTGCAGTTGCCGGTGGTGTTTTGCTGTTTTGAGCGATGTTGGATTTAGTTTGTTTTGGGTCTTGGCGGGGGCAAGTGTAGTGACGGCCAAAGGAACTGCTCAAATTGGAGCAATGCGTGTGCTTCGCGAAATCCCCACCTGTATAGGGCTGCTGCTTCGAACTCAGCAGTATTGTGTTTTGTTTGAAGGGGGTTGTTGTCATCCTTTCTTGAATTTTGGAAAACTTTGAGAGATATTTTTTGCACGCTGCATCCCCGGCGTTGCCTGCATTATGAGCATTCCCCGCATCCCCGCCCTAGTACGTGGCCAGTGTTTCGCATCCGAAGTTGCTGACATCTTGGGCTTGAACATCTAGTCTGGCCAGATGTGCAGTCCGGCTGGGTCCCGTGCATACAGAGGGTCTGAAATTTATACACACTGGCCCACTCACTGCCTGCTTGCCCAAACGCCCTGCTGGGTAGTTGTTTTCTTCTTTCTTCATTTTCTTTTTTCTCGGCTTGGCTCTGTTTCATGTCAACCGTACGAAGCCACAAGGAAACCACCAAATGAAACCGTAAGGAAGCCGTAAGGAATCCACAGTCGTGGCTTTTCAGAATTTCCTGAATGACTGCCCTTGAAATAGAAAAAACCGTCGGTTGATCTGAGAAAGAAAACCAGGAAAACCAAATGGAAACCATAGGGAAGCCATTGAAACCCACAAAAAGACAGCATATGAGCAAATGAAACAGCCTCACTAGCTCAGCAAAGTTAAAAAATCAACATGGCTGCAAAGTCTAATCCAATTCAAGGTACGTTTTCTGGAAAGAAAGTATCTAAGACTCTCCGCTAGCAAGTCCTTCACTTTGGGCCAGGCATCCGAAGATGGCAGGCTCGCGCAAGAGAGATACTCAACATTGACAGTTGCGGCAGTCTTCCCTCAGATGGCGTCGGCGGATCGAGTAGCGATTTCAATACGTACGGCCACCGTATGGCTGACAAAATGTGAGCCAGACTCTGAGTTCATGGCTGTTTTTGGTGTAAATTCAGGGTTGGGCCAAGAAACAAAAGAAACAGGTCCACTTTTTTGACCCCCCCCCCCCCCCCAAAAAAAAAGAAAAAGAAGAAGAAGCCAACACCCCAGGTGCCGCGTCGCGATGCTTCTGGCCCACGCCGCGGCGGCGCGCACGGCCTCTGACCTCGACCTGACGCTGACCACCAGCTGCAATTTCATGGACGGTCTGAACGTTTCAGCGCAGGCCGCAAGTTTCAGGTTCGCAAAAAAAAAAAAACATGATATTTGAAACGGGTTGTTCAAAAAAAGAGGGCATCTCAAATGTGGACCCTGGCGCCTGCACCTTTGCCACTTCCTGTTAGGCGATCACACGGTTTGGTTTGGACGAAAGGTGCCTTCCCCATTTGGCTGAAAACCGGGGCCAATCCAAGCCACAAGCCTCGGAAGCTGATATGGCGACCGGAAGCTGATATGGCAACCAGGTTCCAAGGTTTGGAAGCCCCTCACATACCCACCCGCCAACCCACCCACCCACCCACCCGCACCCACTCACGCACCCACTCACCCACCCACCCACCCACCTACCCACCCAACCCACCCACTCACCCACCCACCCACCCACCCCCACCCACCCACTCACTCACTGACTCACTCACCCACTCACCCACTCACTCACTCACTCACTCACTCACTCAGTCGCTCGCTCACTCGCTCACTCACTCACTCACTCACTCACTCACTCACTCACTCACTCACTCACTCACTCACTCACTCACTCACTCACTCACACGCTCACACACACTCTCACTCAGTCACTCAATCACGAACCCACTCACCCAGCCACCCACTCGCGCGCTCGCTCGCTCGCTCGCTCACTCACTCACTCAGTCACTCACTCACACACACACACACTCACACACCCACTGATTTTTTTTTTTTTTTGCGCGCCCATTTTCCATCCGGCGAGCTGTACTATGGCCTTGGCACGCCAGGTCCATAGTACGGGCAGCACAAAGCCACCCCCATGTAAGGAACACACACCACCCCAACACAACAAACCAACAGGGGGAACAGACCCGAAAACCCGCAAAAAAGGGAGGCGCACACACTCAACACACCGACCCGCGCCCCACACGGGGGGATCGGGGTGAGACTTCGTCAAGAGATGCGTGACTCACATAGTCTGAGCATAAAGACGTTTCATTTTGCGAAATTGCCATTTCCTGGCTGCCTCAGGAAGGTCCACCACGTCAAGATCTGGAGGCTGAAAATCATAAGGCCCGTTGGGCATGGAGATTTTCTTAACGCATGTGTCACCATGAGAAGCTTCACAGTACTGGAGTACGTGTTGCAAGGCTCTGGCAGCATGTGGAATTCCTACCCTACGGGTATAACCACCAATCTTACGAATGGGGTAAAAGATCCTCATCTGCTTGAGGTCAAGGACAGCCTGGGTTGGCAAGATGCAATGACCCGTCACTTCGTTCAGTTGCCTGACGACCAACATCAAAGTTTCGGCTTGCTTGCCTGCACTGTGGGATGAGGCTGGCAACATTTGTGCTTCAATGCTATCATACTCAATATATGTGCTGACCGACTTTTTGCGATCACAGGATGCGACCACAGGGAGACGGGCTCCCGTGGTGAGATAGAAGCTTGCAAGAAGCTCAAGTGAGCATATTCCACAATCCGCGGCATCGGGACCAATGCCCTCCCCGAGGGGGGCTGGCCATTTGACGCGTTGCATCCAATACCATACTGCGTAAGCATTCTGAACACCGGTTGCAATTCCAAGGGCTAAGTCAGGATCAAGCGCACAGATGCGAGTGTCCTGTGGTGACTGGACTGGCCATGCAGCAAGTTTATCACGTGTAGCCTGAAAGGAAGGTCGTGGCCCAACACTGGATGATGCGGCAATGTCGCTTGGCTGCTTATCAGCCTCAGATTGGCCGCCTCCGATATTGTCTAGTTTCCACTGATCAAGTTCAACATAGTAATTGTACACACACGAAATGTCATGCAAAGCGGCTTTGTGTTCAAGCCGCAGGTCGTTAACTACAACTTGCAAAGAGGTAGAGTCACATGAAACTGCCGCACCTGCCAAAGTATCTGCTGCGATATTTCCCGCAATAAGCCAAGCATCTCGCGGATTCCGCGCATCATTAATTTCGCGGTGAGCTTTGATCCACTCTACGCACAAGCGGCCGGAAGGCCAATTATCCAACAGAATGTGTATCAGGTCCTGATTGCGCATGTACCGTTTGACGGAACTGGCAGAACTATGGTCATCGGACAACTTCCGCACGAGGTCCACCACATATTTAGAATCTGAAAAGATGTGGATATCACCCTCATACTGACATGCACGACAGCTGGAAAAAATTGCACAGAATGCCGATAATTCGCCACGTGCCGCACTCTGTTCACCAGGTGCAAAGCCACAGCCGGCACATAGGAAATTATCGATGAAGGCCCCCCCTCCAATAGGGCGGGTCACCTCCGCCTGGATTTCACGTTCGTGGGACAATTTGGATTGAACCACCGCCCACGCCGCACGTCGACCGACAAGAAGTGTCGGGTCACTGCATGCACCATCGGTAAAAAAGGTAATGCAATCCGGGGAGGAAATGGGGAGCTGAAACAAAAAGTCAACCTCGTGCTGAGCAAGGATATGACGAAATACACACTGAGATCCTGAGCAGGTTGGGAGTGGAAGCCACTTCCACTCAGGTCGCTGGTGCTGCAAAATGTCAACTGCAGGCTGATGTTTAACCCTGATATGCTGCGTAGCTGTGCACTCAAGGATATCATGCGTGGTCGATGCGGTCAATCCACATCTATTACAGACCTGGAAGTTATCGCCAGAACGGACATACTTAGCTTTTGCAGTACCACTGAGAAAGGCATTGGTCAGGCGCATTGCTAAAAAGCATAGGTCTTCATCGGGGACTGACTTCAGTGCTCTAAAGCACAGATTCCTGTCAATGGGCAATACCGGGGCAGCACGACGATCCTGCAGTTGGGAGGTAAGATACACATCCCACCAAATCCGAAGGGATCGTTTGAGCTCGCCACGAGAGCACTGAAGGATGGCGATTGGGGGCATCCATTCAGGCCCAGAAAGTATCCCTTCACACGAAAGCGACCATCCCACGACCTCAAGGTACCGACCTCAAGGTACTCACACACCCACTGATTCTTTCACACATTCGCACTCACTCACACTCAACTTCCACTGGCTTACTCACACTGACTCACTCTCGCTGACGTTTGCGTGGCAGGCACATTTAATAGCTGTCTAAAGGGGCTCTATGTTGTCGAGCGCGCGGCACTTTGGAGATGGCTTGCAAAGCACGTGGCAGGTGCAGCATGTCCCGTGTTTGCGTGGCAGGGGCAGCCTTTGGCAGGTGTAAAGAGGCTGAATGTTGTCGAGCGCACAGCTGAGGAGGAGATGGCTTGCAGGTTCCGTGGCAATCGCAGTTTTTTGTGCATCTGGGTGCGCGCTTGCGTGACAGGGGCAGCATTTGGTAGCTGTCTAAAGGGACTGGATGTTGCCGAGTGCGCGGCTGGGGGCCCCGTTTTGCGTGACAGGCGCGGCACTTTGGAGATGGCATGCGGGTTTCGCGGCAAGCGCAGTATTCTCTGCGTTTGGGTGAGTGCTTGTAGCGCACGGCGCGGCGCTCGCGCTTTGCACACGCTCACTCGCACTCATTCACACTCACTCACTCACTCACTCACTCACTCACTCACTCACTCACTCACTCACTCACTCACTCACTCACTCACTCACTCACTCACTGACTCCCTCCCTCCCTCCCTCACTCACTCACTCACTCCCTCCCTCACTCACTCACTCCCTCCCTCCCTCACTCCCTCCCTCCCTCCCTCACTCCCTCCCTCCCTCCCTCCCTCACTCACTCACTCCCTCCCTCACTCACTCACTCACTCCCTCCCTCACTCCCTCCCTCCCTCCCTCACTCACTCACTCCCTCCCTCCCTCACTCACTCACTCACTCCCTCCCTCAGACACACACACACACTCACACACCCACTGATTCTTTCACACATTCGCACTCACTCACACTCAACTTCCACTGGCTTACTCACACTGACTCACTCTCGCTGACGTTTGCGTGGCAGGCACATTTAATAGCTGTCTAAAGGGGCTCTATGTTGTCGAGCGCGCGGCACTTTGGAGATGGCTTGCAAAGCTCGTGGCAGGTGCAGCATGTCCCGTGTTTGCGTGGCAGGGGCAGCCTTTGGCAGGTGTAAAGAGGCTGAATGTTGTCGAGCGCGCGGCTGAGGAGGAGATGGCTTGCAGGCTCCGTGGCAATCGCAGTTTTTTGTGCATCTGGGTGCGCGCTTGCGTGACAGGGGCAGCATTTGGTAGCTGTCTAAAGGGACTGGATGTTGCCGAGTGCGCGGCTGGGGGCCCCGTTTTGCGTGACAGGCGCGGCACTTTGGAGATGGCATGCGGGTTTCGCGGCAAGCGCAGTATTCTCTGCGTTTTGGGTGAGTGCTTGTAGCGCACGGCGCGGCGCTCGCGCTTTGCACACGCTCACTCGCACTCATTCACACTCACTCACTCACTCACTCACTCACTCACTCACTCACTCACTCACTCACTCACTCACTCACTCACTCACTCACTCACTCACTCACTCACTCACTCACTCACTCACTCACTCTCACTTATTCGCGCTTAGTCTGTCACTGCTCTCTTACACCCCACTCACTCATGCGCTTAAGTTGTCATCAGCCGTGCGTTTGCTGAAACGTGGCTGATTCCTTCGCCTTTTTGTTTCTTGCTTTGTTTCTTTTTTTTCCATGTCCATGCTTCCATGAGACTTGACTGCAAACTTTGCATGTGGGGTTTTGCGGGCCCTTCACTTTCTGAAAACGGCTTTCGCCGTCCTTGAAGTTCACAGGGTTGGTGATACACTTATCTTTCTAGATCCCGGTTGCATGTCCTTTCGGTATCGTTGCCCTGTATGTTCAAAGGTTGGGCGACTATCGAATCTCCAAGGTTCTTGAGTTCTTGCCGAAGCGAACCCTCACATTCTTCAAGGGCTTTGGACATCCGCTTCTCCCCACTCACTGGGTCAAAGGAACTACCCAGCCCCCCAACCTCCCCGAACTAAAAGCTAGCATTTCTCAAATTTCTCCTCAAAGACCGCGCGTGGCGATCGTTTCCATGGTAGAGGGAATGGATCACTGCAAACATATCTTTCCGCAAGTTTTTCCAGGCGAGAAAGCAAATCTCCCCGAAGGTGAGCGGATGGAGCCGTTGGAGCCTCACTGCCGGCGGCTTGAGGAAGGAGTCGAAGTCCATGCGCCTCGCCTGGTAAGCCCCGAGAATTTCCACACACTAGTATGCTGCACGGCAGCCCCTCTCTGGCAGCAAGCAGTGGTTAACAACCCAGCAAACTTAACGGCCCCCCCCAGACTTGTTCAACAGTTTAAGCCCCCGAAAACATCCATATCAAAGCCACAACATAAGATGGGTTGTAGGCGTCTGTTACAAGAAACGCCCCCCGAACAACCTTACACAAAAACCAAGCAACAAGCCATGCAACAGAGCTTACATAACACTCACCAACAACTCGCAAATGAACTCACCCGGGATTTTGTACAAATCTTCTTGCTTATGCTGCGCATTTTTTTCGCTCATTCGTTTTCTTTCCTGCCGGCATCTGCTGCGCTGCTTCAATCTGTTTGACATTAGCAACTCTACCGCAGTCTGTTTTACATAACGGTCCCGGCGTCCAACTTTTAATGTTCGCCCATGGTCTCGCTATGTTGACGCAATTTAAACCATATTGCAATAATCAGTATCAACATGGTCCAAACCTTTCATAAAGTCCTTTGTTTTGCAATAGTCCAGTTTGCGGGTTTTCGATTGCAAAACACTTCGGGTTAAACTAGCTTATGATTTCAATGGTTGTCCATACGAAATACTTAGTCGAGAACTCCAACCACGGTCAAAGTGGTTTCTGTCAAATTGTGTATATCCTCAACTCAAAGTATCTTCATTGATGTCAGCATTTTTAAAGCCCAATGATGTTACAGTAAAACTTAAATCACGAGCAGCTTTACCAACGCGATGACTACCAGAAATAAGTCTAATACATTAATACGATTAATGTGATTCAGATATTTAATTCTATGAGTTCATATTTCCCATCTTTGTTTTTTTAAAAGTTTGTGATTTTCTACTGTTTCAGGTTGGGTCATCTTAGTTTTGTTGCTATTGGCCATCCCACAGTACTTTGCATATTTTGTTAGATAATCCCGATCATTTTCAAATGTTGTATACGGTGAGCCCTTGTCGTCTTACTTTTTGCTTTGCTGGTGATCATCAATAGCGTTAGCAAGTCCAGTCAATGCTTGAACATTCTTGCATCTTTTACCACATTTTCATTAAATCGGGAAGGTAAAATGTTCATTTTCAGTCCTGTATAGGCCAAGAGTATATATCCATCAAGTTCATGAAAAGCCGGGATTTTGCCAAAAGGGGCCACCCTTAATTGAATTAGACTCATTAAGTTCACCAAAATAATTTGATGAATTCAATGACTCCAAAACGATTAAATTCATTAAGTTCATTCAATCCCTGGACTTTGCCCGGACTATGCCCGGCCACATTTTTTGTGGATTGCATAAATTAAAATCACCAACTTAGTTTGCTTTAAATTGTCAAAAAACGGCTCCAAAAAGGTTAGGTTCAAACTCAGTATAATCCTGGACTTTGCCAAAAAGGGCCACCAATTTTTGATACAACAACCATATCATTCTACATATGATTGAATTCATCTTGCAATGACACCAAACACTGCCAGATTTAAACCATATTGTGTTAAATCACGTGTGATGCGTCTTACTAATCTGAAATTAACTTCATAAGTGAAACGCATGTTAAAGTAATGCTACATCCAGAATGACACTTATATCTTACATTTTGATTAGGCTGTTTAAGCTGACTGTCGATATTCAGTATTCCTTCGTTTAACTCGTTCTTAATTTCAGAACTTATGATATCGCCGTTTTCGCGTATGCGTTTATGCGTTTAAAACGAATATATTTGTATATATATATATATATATATTGTTCTGTTTTGTTCCAGCAAGAAGCATCTTGACATATGCAAGCGTGTTGAAACTGCATAGCCTTTGGTAGTGATGATGCTCTGAAACAACAGCAGTCGTTAACACATGCGACATCCACGGAGGCGAAGCACAGAAAGAATAACTTGAAGCACGACTGAGATTTGGGAAATAACAACCATGACGAAATTGCAAGTGCTGTCTCAGAACCGTCAATGCCGGCTGGTGTAGAAGTTCATTCAGTGGCGTCAGCTGATGAAATGCCAGAAATAGACCCATTGAATACACAAGAGGGCTGGGAAGAATGAAGAAGCACGAGAAAAATAACCCAATAGTTGAAGTAGAAGCAGTTAAAAAAGGTAAAGACGACGATGATGATAGGCAAACAAGCGTGTCTGATGCTGAAATACTGGACATGCACGAAAAAGCGATCGAACTAAAATTACAAAATGTTGAAAACGAAGATGTTGATGCTGAAAGGCTGTGTTAAAATTTATTTAACCAGCATCAAGTCGATGTGGCCTGAATATTTAGCGCAAAACCCAAGCACTTTAGTGACAACACAATTTCAACACTACATCATTTCAATGTCGATAAATACAATCAACTCAAGGAATCGTTAGATGATTAGAACCATACAACAACAAAAGGTTATGAGGACAATGTTTATAACAAACACTTCAATCATAAACCAAGTTCAACAACTCAATAGAAAACCTCTAGAACTTGTTTGGCTGAGAAATATTGCGGATTTGGACAACGACCTACATGTGACGAAATGCTCAAAGAAGCGATGACGCATGGATTGAAAATTGAAACCGCCCAAAAGAAGACAGACGGTTGAAACATCAGTGAACAATATCGACTTTGATGATTCTGGCCTTTCCCAAAACGATAGGAGACGATGGCAGAATGCGCAGGTTCAAACTGACAAACAAGTGCTTCAGCGTGACATGTTCGATGAAGTAGCACTGACCTAACAGTCGCATGAAGACACTTCCTCAGGACCACGGCACGTTGTTTGCTTAGAGGCCAAAAGAATGAGCAATAAAGGTTCCACATGCATCTGAAAGCAAGCTTTCTTCAAGGAGAAGCTTCAGAATGAAATGAGACCCGAGCTATAGTCGGCTGTCCTTTGTACACTGGAGCCCGTATGATGAAGGCGTACGGAGTGAACGACGCTTCTAAGCATTGGTGGGACATCCTTGATTCAGCGCTAAGGTCCTAATGGCCTTGTGCCGCCACGTGCTGACCATTGGACTTGTGTGTATCATTGTGAAATCCAAACCAGGAGCCCTATGGCCCTATTACCCGCCATAATGCATTATGGTTTGACTTGCCCAGTCTCAGGCAACAACGCCCAAGGCAGACAAGTTCTTGGTGTTATGTCCCTCCATGTTGCTGATCTTCTCTCTTGAAGTTCGCCGATTCCAACGTTCTGATGAACATTGATGTAAACTCCGTGCTTGCAATCGGTTTTCCATTAGACTTCTCTGACCAACAAAAGCCAGGCGTTCTTGTCCTCGGAACAACTAGTTTAACTTGAAGAAGTTTGCCAAGACAAGCTGTGAAACTCTGTATTTCCGTTGGCTGGTGTCGCAACGAATGAACATTCCAGAGCTGTTGCACCGTTCAATACTCAGACAATTTGTTGACTCAAGTGCGCTTGACTAGGTTGCTACGATCAATTGCGGCAATGCGGCAAATTCTGCAACTGGCGCAACCCATTTACTTATGAGATCCCCTTCAACACAACCAGCTGGATTTTCCGCAAAACATCCATTCACTTCATCGTCACTGTTACGGCGTATTACCATGCGTGTCACGGCATAAAGAACGAGAGGCCAGACCGCACATACAAACCAAGCGCCCAACAAAATTGGATTGCGGAGATTCTGATGTGGTTCCATTCAGTTTCCAGAGCATGCGCAAAGGGCCCATTGCGTGCAGAGATGTTCACCGAATCTAGAACCACACCTGCGTGTCATCCGGACAAGAACCCGATCAGGAGAAGCCCAAGAATCCAAGGACAAATGCATTTTGTTCGAGGAAGCGAAATCCTGGAAACCATGGTCATCTGGAATTCCTGGTTGTGGTAGAACTCCAGAAAGGGCCACTGCTCAGACAATCCTGGGTATAACAGGGACAGAAGAGAAGAACCAGGAGCATTCTGAGCAAGAGTGTGTGCCCACAGGCGTGACTGACACAGTCAATGAAGTGCCCAAAAGACTACGTACAACCTCGACATCGAGGACATTTAAATTGGAACGAGCAGATCCAAGATATTCCAAACAATATCAAGATTGGGAAATGGCGAAGGCACTCAGCAGAGAGGGTCTTGACCTCATGGACAAACCCAGCGCCAAGAAACAGTCTACAAACCTTCAAGCAGCCAGCGTTCGTGCTCTCCTGTTCATGAACATGCATCAGATGAACTCTTCTCAAGAGCAACGCTAACCAACCCACCTGCGAAGAGGACTGTGCAAAATCAGCCTGACTGTGGCTATCCGATTTGTCTCCCAGAAGGACTTCTCAAACTTGCAGGTTATGATCCCGTCGCGAAGAAGAAGGCCTACACTTCTATTCTTCAGCGTGTTCTTCAGTCCACCAAGACCAAGAAGATCTGAACAGAAAGAAATTTGTGTCTGTTTTGTTTCATGCTTTGTGTGTGCTTGATCCCAGATGCCCACTCATGTACGATCTTGTGCCATGTGGCTCAATCCTGGTGAGACAAGACAGGTTCGAGCAGAAGCGGTGGAACAACTGTCCCGCACTTGCTGCGTTGTTGCCACGGCAACAGGGCCCCTTGAGGTTGAGTTGGGTTGGGTTGGACCCCCTATTTCCAACCTCAGGGGTCGAAGGGTAGGGAAGGGGTTGGGAAGATAGATGCTAAAGGGGTCTGAGGGGGTCTGACCGCTTCCCAGCCCTGGGCGAAGGCGAATCACGAACAAAGAGCAAAAACTCCGGAAAACCAGACTCCTACAAATGCTTGCTTCATTCTCTTCACTGATTGTCAAGGGGTGACGGCCCAAACGAACCTGCTTTAAGAACAGTCATTACTAATTTCACGAGTTGGTTGGCCAAACCTCACTTCCACAATGCTAACCAAGCTTAGTCATGATTAGTAGATGTTTCCTACTGCTGACCAACCGCCCCTACCTCATGTTTTCCAAGTTGTCCCTTAAACCGCCAGCTCCTTTTTTCCGGTGGCTCTGTGGCTATTGGTCTGGGCTTCCAAGCCACGTTTGGTAGACAATAGGACCCCAACACCCCGCACCACCTGGGCGAGGGCAAGGATGGGTATAGAAATGACCTTCTTGCCCCAAGTACGTCTTAGGAGACGAACTCGATCGGATGTGCAAGATCCATGTTGCCAGCCTGTTTTTCAGCCAGTGTTGGTTGGGTTGATCCATTTGATGTGGCGCCGATCGGCGTGGGCTTGTTTCATCCACAGGTCACCTCACTCACTGTTTGTCTGCGTGTTTTTCAGTTGCTTGGTTCTGTTCATGTTCAGTTGATGTTTGGTTGGAAAGATGGCTTCCTTCGGCTTCGGTATCCCGAGGTGCGAGCGACACTATACCAACAACGATAGAGACTTTACCGTGCGGTCCTACGAGGGCAGGCTTCGGAAGTTCGGAAGCCTCTGTCAAGGCTGTGCCATGGTGGAACTATTTCTCACCAAGATCCCAACCCCTGATTTTCTGGAATTCCATTTCTGGCTCCAATTCTTGTAGGGGAAGACTTTTCTAGAACCAACCCGCCTGGGACACCAAGGCCCAAGCCGAATTGACCAGATCTGAATGCCACCAGTTTTAGTGCTGGCCCGCATTTTATGTTTTGGTCCTAAGGGCAAACTGTTACATTTGTGGCTTCCATGCCACCATCTAAGTGATCAACCACCGCAGTGGTATCGCAGAAGGGGCCACTTTCCACATTGATGCATCGCAGCACACATACACATTGCTTCTTGTTCATTTGCTGTGCCTTTCTTGTCAGTACATCAAACTGAGCCCTTGTCTGCGGTCTTGTCTTCCAAAACAACAAAACAACATTGGGAGTGGTTGTAAGCCAACTCAGAGAAATTCTTCCTTGTCAGGTAACCGCAAGTCAAGATTTGACGTTGCTCGTATGGGACGGATGCCCCCCCCAACAAGGAACTCCAAGCAAGCGGGAACCATGCGGCAAAATTTGGCGAACCCAAGCCAGGGGCAAGGGAATGCAAACCTTGATGTTGCAGGTGTTCAGGCTGAGGATGTTGCTTCTAGCAGTGGTTCAAGAGGACGTTGCAACCTACCCTTAGTTGTTTAATGGCTCGGCAAGTCCCAATCAACACTAGAAGGGTTGCTTTTTCCATCAGCTTCGTTGAGCAACTAGGCTGTGGGTCAGTGCTGGCCATGTGGCTCAGTGCTCATGGAACAACCCGAGCAAGGTGTGTTGTAGAACGCTTCCCTCCCCTGAAAATCAGAAAGCTGAAAAACGCAAAGGAACACATATCAAAGTTGCGAAGCATAAATGGCGGCGCGCTCCCATCTGTTTCGTGCGACGAGCAACATTTTTGGAGGGCTATCGCTTGCGAGTTGCCGCGCGCAGGGCTTTTGTAGGGAGAGCCGGTTGCTGGCTGACTACGCGTGTTGGAGGAATGCAAGAAAGGAAGCCATGCAGACCAGGGCGGGCGTTAACACATGTCAGTGTACATCACAAACAGCGCTCCCCAAGCTGCGCATGCCTTCAGGTGGCTGGAAGAGAAGTGCAATGAGGGGGTCGACATTGGCCACAGTGACTTGGCCGGCCCTTGCTAGAGTACCGCCCTAACCCTTAACATCTGCTGAGCCTAGGCCTGTGCGCCCAGGAAACCAACACGGGGCCCAGCATTGCGCCGCTGGAGATTGTAGACCATTGGGAAAAGGGCCTCGTGCGCCTTTGGCAAATCTGCCGCCCAGCGCGTTATCTTGCGCTGACTCGGTTAGCAGCGCAGGGCGCTGCCAAGTTTGCAAGTTTCATGTTGGGCTTCAGTATCTTCGTTCTTCGATGTGGCTTTGCTTGCAATCCGGCGTTTCATCACTGATGGCGGGCTCGGTCAGTGCTGCCAGTGAAAAAATTTGGCCATTCGCAGGCATTATGTCAGCAACCGTCGCCAAGCAAGGGCTTCCTAACAGCCGGGCAAATTAGGGTAGGAGCGTGGCAGTTGTGTTGTCCTTGCTTTGTTTTCACATGAGCGCTGGCAATGTCAAGGCTTGCTCGCAGGTTAAGGGTTCGCAGCGACTTTGCTACACATCTTCCAAAACTGTTCTTGCAGCTTCCGTTGCAGGTGTAGGCCAAGCCTTTGATGGAAGTTCTCCAACATACTTGTGCCGAGTTGACAAGATTGGTGCCACGAGTAAAGGGGGGGGGGGGGGCGATTTCACCAGGCACGGACAAGTGACAAGCCTTGAAATTTAAAGATGTAGTGCCTAGTGAAGCGCAGAGCTTGTTGTTTCTGCTTGCGCATGCTTGTGGAGATTTGGCTTGGCAGCGACCCACCAGAGGAAGTCGGGTTGGCAAGGTGTTGATAACACCTTTGGTGCGTCAGTCGGGCTTGCGCATGGGTTTCCTTGCTTTTTGGGTTGAAACGGCGTTTTGGGCTTCTTTTGCGAAGGGTTCTTCTTCTAAAAGCGGCTGCAAACTTCACCTGCCAACTTCTCGTGCCAACTTGCCGAGGAGTTATTTCACCTGCCAACTTCTCATGCCAACTTTTCGAGAGTTACTTCACCTGCCAATCTCATGCCAACTTTTTGAGAGTTATTTCACCTGCAAACTTCTCGTGCCAACTTCACCCGCCAACTTCGGCTGCCAACTTTTCAAGAGTTATGTCACCTGCCAACTTCTCATGTCAACTTTTCGGGTGTGGTCTCATTATCCTAAAAGCACAAGCTAACTTTTCGGTATTACTTCACAAGCTAACTTTTCTTTTGAAAACCTGCGCTACTCGACTCTTAATTCTTCTTCTTTTGGTAGGCACGACGGGAGCTTTCGAAACGTACCCCTCTGCGGAGATCGTGCGTGTCGAAGAGCTCTCGCTGTAGCGCCGTGCAAATTTGTCTTGACCGCGGCGAACGCCGTGCAAATTTGTCTGGATCGCGGCGAACCCTCTGCGGAGATCGTGTTTGGAAGCGCTCTCGCTGTGGCGCCGTGCGAATTTGTCAGTTGGTCTCGGCGGAGATCGTACGGAGATCGTGCGTGTCGAAGCGCTCTCCTGTGCATGGCGCCGTGCGAACTTGTCTAGAACCCTCTGCAGAGATCACGCGTGTCGAAGCGCTCTCGCTTTGGCGCCGTTCGAATTTGCCTTGACGCCGAACCCCCTGCGGAAATCGTGCGCATCGAAGCGCTCTCGCTGCGGCGCTGAGCGAATTTGTCTCGACCTCAGCGAACCCTCTGCGGAGATCGTGTGCGTCGAAGAGCTCTCGCTGTGGCGCCGTGCGAATTTTCTTGCTTTCGCTGCGAATGGTCTTTGAAAGTTGTCTCTTGGTTTGCGCGCCTGCTTTCGCAATCGCGGCGTCGCGGGTTTGATTCCCCCCCTGGTCCGCGCCAGCTCCGGCTCAAGAATAGCAATTCTCAAGTACCAAAGTAAAGTGTACGGAAACTGCGCTCCCGCAGCTCGACTGGAAAATGGAAACTTTGGAGTACAAAAGTACTACGCAAAGTGCGTTCCCGCAGCTCCTGCTGAAATTGCAAGTTTCAAGTACTCAAGTACACAAGCAGCACGCGAAGAGCATTGCAGCTCAGGAATGAAAATCGCAATTGTTTAGTACAGAGTAGTGCGCGAAGTACATTCCCGTTGCTCTGGCCCACAAGTAGCACTTTTTGTGTACAAAAGTAGTGTGCGAAGAACGTTCCCGCAGTTCTGGCTGCAAAACCGTTGAGTACAAAAGTAGTGCGCGAAGTGCACTCCCGCAGCTCCCGCTGCACAATCTCACCTTTTACTTACACAAGTATAAGCGCACTCCTGCAGCTCTGGCTCGAAATTCGCAACTTCCAAGTACAAAAATAGTACGCGAAGAGCATCGAGAGCTCCGAATGCAAAATCGCAATTTTTGAGTACAAAAACAATACGCGAAGTGCACTCCCGCATCTCCGGCTCGAAATTCGCAACTTCTAAGTGCAAAAGTAGTACGCGAAGTGCACTCCCGCAGCTCCCGCCGCACAATCGCACCTGTCACGTACAAAAGTACTAAGCCCAGCCGCGGCGATTACGGCCAAAGTATAGTAGGTATGAACTCCTGCAAGGGAACAATGTATTGAGAAAGACCTGACTCTGAATTTGTTCAGATTTTCCCATCTTTCTAGTTTTTCTCAGTTTTCTGAACTCTTCAAGAGGAAAAATGCATTGTGAAAAACGCGAATTCAGAAATTCTCTGAATTTGTTCAGAAAATTCTGAACTATTCAGACTTTTTCTGAATTTTTCCGGAGTTTTCAAAATTTTCTGAACTCCTCAAAACAGCACATGTACTGGGAAAGACCCGAGCTCATAATTTTTCTGAATTGATTCAGAATTTTCGAGGTTATTCAGATTTTTCTGAACTCCCCAAAAGGAAAAATCTAGTGGGAAAGACCTGACTTCAGAATTGTTCTGAATTTATGCAGGTTTCTGAATTTATTCAATTTTTTTGGGACTCCGAAAAAATTGCCCCAAGGGCCCATAGTGCAATGGCAGCGCATCCAGCTCCAGGCCTCTACCTGACTGGGCTCCACCCCTCCTAGCGCAGTAACACTTTTTTTGAAGCAGGGCCCAAGACATCTCACACTGAGCAAGCCATCCCAAGTCTCATAAACTCGAAAGAAGCAAGCCATTCCAATTTTTGAGAACAAAATCTCCCAAACACTCGCAAACTGCAAGCGATGCCAATCCCAAAAGAACAATCCGTCTCAAAAGCTGTCACACTAACCAAGCAATGCCAACTCTCAAAGCCCCAAAGAACAAAAACTCAAACTCTGAAACGCCCACGATCAAACAAGATCATGTCCTTGCAAATGTCACGGCAAAACAACTGCAAAGTTGCGCTTGCTTTCTTGTCCCAATCCCCCCGCGTCATTGCATGAGCCGCTGTCTTACCGAATCGTGCCTCAAAACATTCAAGCCACTTTGTGGCAGTCGTAGCAGACTGCGCAGACCGACTCTTGGCAAAAGCGTCAAGACATAGCGTCTCCACGTTTCATTGGGGCCAAAAAAGGACAGTTCTTCGACGACATTTCGGCCGAGGCCAAAAGTTCCCTTGCAATGATTTTGTGTCGAACTCTCAGCAAGCTTCTGCCAATACATTGCCAGTCTCAAGCGCGCAAGATTACGAGGCGACGCGCGAAAAAAAATACCTGAAAAAAACCAAAACAAAGTGATACAAAGTTAGCAGCACTTATTAGAAGTTACACTCACTTAGCTTGACTTACCAAAAGTTAGCAAAAACTGATCGAAATCTATATGTAGATAACAAACCTTACTAAAAACTTAACACAACAAAGTTCACAAGTCCAATAAACGATTATATGTTCCCGTAAGTGTTCACAATGACTATGCCCGAGTTGACCTACTTGCTCAGCACTTGCCGAGCACTTGCCGCCTGGCTGCCGCCCACTTACTAAACAGTTCTGATTAAATTTAGAAATTTTGAATTCAGGGTTTTCCCAATAATTTTCCTTTGGAGGAGAATAGATTCAGAACAATCCTAGAACAAATTTCAGCTCAGGTCCTTCCCAACGCATTTTCCCATTTCAGGAGTTCAGAAAAATTTTGCATAGATTTAGAAGAATCTGTTCCCGAGACTCAGAGTTCAGAAAGATTCTGAAAGAAGTTTGAAGAAACAAATGACTACATTAAAAGAAGAACATGCCCAAATTTGCGATGATATCCTCAGGGAGACCAGGGGAAATTTAATATCCAGAACCCTTTGGACATTGAATTTCATCCCCTTGTTCGTCTAGAATTGTTGAGCGAAGCGCGTCTGCATGCCTTGCTTAGCGCGAGAACATTTACTGTTTGCGCGAGTACGGGCTACCAAAAAATGCTGTTTGTTAGTCGTCGGTAACTTAACTTTCTGTAAGTTCTCATAACTTTTCCTAAGTGTTACTAACGTTTTCACCAAAAGAAGTCAGAAGCACGAACCTACTTTCTTCCGATAAAATGCTATAAGCGGTCGCTAAATGATCTTAGACAGCTACAAGTTCCGGCGAGTTTCGATAACCAGTATATCTTGTCAGTAACTCCTGCGGCTGGTAGTACACGAAGAGCACTCCCGCAACTTCAGCTGGCAATTCGCAATTTTACGTACAAAAGTAGTACGCGAAGCGCACTCCCGCATCTCCGGCTCGAAACTCGCAACTTCTAAGTACAAAAGTAGCATTCCCAGAACTCCGGCTGCAAAATCGAAATTTCTAAATACAAAAGTAGTACACGAAGAGCACTCCCGCAGCTCTAGCTCGAAATTCGCAAGTTTTAAGTACAAAAGCAGCACACGAAGTGCATTCCCATGGCTCTGGCTCAAGAATAGCTATTCTCAAGTACCAAAGTATAGTCCGGAAACTGTGCTGCCGCAGTTCTGGCTGCAAAATCGCAAGCGAAAGTAGCACGCGAAGTGCATTCCCGCAGTTCCGGCTAGAAATGCAAGTTCCAAGTACGCAACAAGCACTCGCAGGGCACTAGCTCAGGATTGCAATCGCAAGTTTTGAGTACTACGCAACTGGTAACTTTTTTGAGTACAAAAGTAGTCCGCAAAGTGCACTCCCATGGCTCTGGCTCAAGAATCACAACTTTTAAGTAATCCGTTCCCCCTATTAATAAATACGGGTCCCCCCGCTATTCTAAATAAATCCTCCCAAAAATATTTGCTGTTTTTTTGTTTAAAGGGTTTTTCGTTTTTTTGCTTTTCCAGACAGACCGCAGCCAGGTGACAAACGCAGTCTGCAGCCAGTTCTTTTACACCCTTCGAACCCTTTGTGGAGGCACTGGTTTCCTTAATATCCCCCAAAGATTTGAAACTTGTTTGCATTGAAGTCAGGGAGTCAGGGACAGCCAGGGACAACCTTTTGGGGACAGAGTCAAGAACAACCTTTTGGGGAACCCGCCAAAAGAACCCAACCTTTTGGGGAAGCCAGCTTTTGGGGAAGCAACCTTTTGGGGAATTGAGGAACCCACCTTTTGAAAAGTGAGGCTGGAAGCTTGCTAAAAGTGCCCCCTAATAAGGATTCCAAGACTTTAGTATTGGCTTAGTATTGGCGCAATGGAAAATCAATTGTGCGGAGTGGAAATCTGGTCTCGGGCCCCGGATTTGCATTTATTATTAATGGGGGTCTTTCATTAATAGGGGGAGCGGATTACAAAAGTAGTGCGCGAATGCATCCCGCAGCTCCGGCTGAAACATCTAGTTTTCCACACGTCACACAAAGGCCGTGCGCGAAGTGCGCTCTCGCAACCCCAGCTCGAAAACCACAGTTTTAAGCGCAGGAGTAATGTGCGGAGAGTGCGCTCCGTCATCTCCAGCTCGCAAATTGCAACTGTAAGGCGCAAAAGGAAGACCCAGTTGCACTTCCGCATCTCCAGCTTGAAAATCTTAACTTATGCGCGCAAAAGTACACTTCCGTAGCTAAGACAGCCAGCCTTCTTGCGTAGCCAAACTGCGCACTGATTTGGACAAGAGAGGTTGACAAAAGAAACGGGCGCAAAGAGTGGACAAGAGGTGTTGTAGAGCATCATGGGCAGCATCGCGCACAGCGTCACGCGCGGCACTACGCATAGAGCATCGATTCACAACATCACGCGCAACAGATTGACACGAGAGATTGCGAAGCATGATGCTAAGCTTGCTCATCAGAACTTGCAGTAGCTAGGCTTGAGCAGGGATATTGAGACGTGTTCACGCTTTGTTTCTCATGGTGGGGGAGGCGATAGAGTTGATTTAACGTGTTTCTTTGCTTCCGGGTCACCCTTCGTCCAGTTTTGCAGGGGGTATTGAAATTCTATGGCTACCAAGGGTATACAAAGTCTTTGGGGCGTTGTGGGCCCTTTGCTGGGAGATTACACTTTCAGGGGACGCGCGGAGAAAAGATGTATTTTGCAAATCCACCTTGGCTGAGGGACACGGGGGGTGGCACCTGGTGGACTGCGAAGGAGGCTGAGCCTTGGGCCAACGCGGGCGGGACGCAAGGCGCGTCGGAGTAGACTTTGGTGCCTGGGACCTTGATCTGGCTATGCTCGGAACCTGAGCGGCGGAATCCTAAATGCTTGGTCCAACAGAGTGCAAAAGCCAGGCGATTCACCAAATTTCAACATACCCACCCCAACCAAAAACCTATCGCGGGAAACCAAAAGACAATCGCCATTTTAAATTTTGGGCTTGAACATTTCTTGCCGCAGGTTTAAAGCCAAAGAGACTCGGGCGTGGTTGCAATCCCTGGGAGAGGTTGGCCCTTGAGGCGTTCAAGTGGTTAGCTTCCGCCTTTTTTGTTTTTAAGGTGCCCGTTTTCGGGAAACCCGAGGAAAACGCAGCCCTGAACTTGGGTCGGCTCGCCAAGGAGTGGTGCAGCTTGAGCCCACCACCGCGGTGGACGGGATTTGAGGACTGCTGCACTCCTCGCATGTCGTTTGCAGCTTTCCGCCGTGGTTGTTGAGAATTGAGGATACCACCTGGCCTTATTTTTGTCGGGGTGGGGCGGGGAAGGGGTTGTTCATCATTCTTAGCATGTTGTTTCTGTTTTGGTTTTGTGGGTTTCTTGGGCGCAAAAGTCAACATTTCTTGCTCGCGCGCCCAGATTCATTGAGCTTTGCGCAAGGCCATGTGCATTTCTGGCACAGGCGTGTGAGACATTCAGCGCTGTCCCCCGCTACATGGCAACGCAAGACCGGGTAAGCCCTCCTAACAACACTTCGAAAGTCTTCAGCGCGGCGCGCGTGGCGGCGACGAAGCCCACGCACTAGGTTCAGTCAAAGCCGCCGATGTCCCCGCCTTTCGGAAGAGCAAGCATGCTAGGAAGTGTATCAAAAAAACTCGGAAATCCTTGCTTCAAAGCCATGCAAGAAAACCCGAGGCGTCATGTTTGCCCGCGTCGGGTTTCTATGGGGTCAGGATCCAGTTGCAAGGACGCCGAGCACCCATCAGAGCCCAGAGTTTTGAAGGAGTTGGGAAAACGCAAAGTTACAGTTTCTGTGGACGCTGTTCCACGAGGGCACGCAGTCAATTCATGGCCATGATGTTGCAGGGCCCACGCACGCGCATTCAACGTGGACCGCGGAGGCGCAAGAGTCGGGCGAACTTCAGAGTGCATTCTGGAGTTGGTGGGCAGAGATTGATGCGCTCGAAATGCAACTGGAGATGCTGCTGGACCATTCTCATTTAGCTTTGCAGGTGCATCTAGAAAAGGTCTGGAAACGCCATCTTTTCTCCTGAGAGCCCGGCATTGTGCGATTTTGCTTGGAGAAACATGAGCCTGCAAGTTTGCAAAGAACAGGAGATCACCGTAACCCAAAGTTCTGCATCGTGGCTCTTGGCAAGATTGCGCAAGTCACGCCTTGCCTCGCCCATCAAACAACTGGCGCATGCAGGGAACTCATGTGGGCAAGGTCAAAGTTGCGCAACTGTTTTTCTCATCGGCTCCATCATCGCATGCTCGTCGAACATCCACAGCCCGTCCTTGTAGCATATGTCGGTCACTGGTTTGTGGAGGACGCTTTGTACGATTTGGCTGCATGCGGCGTGACACTTGCTAAGGATTTTGGAGCTCACCGCGTTGTCCTTGTACAACATGCTCATTGCGCTGCAGTGCCTGAAGATGGCCAGTGGCAATGGCGCCAAGGTTGTCGCTTGCCCGCCCAAGATTCGATAGAACTCAGCCACGTATGCCGCGCAGCCTTGCGCAGCTCGTTGAACTTGGCCCGTGGGAGCCAGCTTCGTCACTGAAGCTAGTGAGTGAGTCATGGCTTCTCAGGAGTCTCCGCACCCAGGCATCGTGACAAATGCATGTGTTTGAGGCATTGGCGCACGAGGCTGCTAAACAGTTGCCCACATGAGTTCCCTGCAGCGCCAGTTGTTTGATGGGCGAGGCAAGGTGTGACTTGCGCAATCTTGCCAAGAGCCACGATGCAGAACTTTGGGTTACGGTGATGTTCTGGCCGGTCCATGTCCTGATACAGGACTTCCAGCCAGTGCTCCCAAACACCTCTTCGAACAGCCGTTTCCCGTGAGCTCTCACCAATGAAGGTTGGCCGTGTACTCGAATCATTCTCTGAGTTCAAGCGCCAACTGTTAGTCAAGGAAGGTCCAAATTCCAGGATTTCTAACTCGCATTCCAACTCTTGTAGTTCCTGGCTTTTTCTACTGGAAATCCTCACCGTTGCAAAGATAAGAGTTCCAGCATATTAAGCCGCCAGGCGCTATCTCACTCATGCCTCTCCAACTTCTGGCTTTGTTGTAGGAATCGGAGATAGAAAGCAAGGGAGTTAACCTTTGTCATTCATATCACCTTCTTCCGTACATGCATACAAGCAAAGACTGCGGATCCGTGTGATCTGTTTGACATCTTGGCTTTTCTTGGCTTCAATTAAAAGAAGTAGTTTCGGAGCTTTGGCAACCTCAGGTTTGCAAAGCACTTGTTTCGGGCCGACAGGGCGGCGGGAAGAAAGGCTCGTGCATATTTATCGGCGCGCTTGCAACACTAGAAGCTGACTGGCTGCAAGTGTGTGTGTGTGTGTGGGATCGTGTGTGCTCACCTGCTCGCATTGTGACAGGTTGGGGTTTGCCCGGCTCTCAATTTCAAACTGTGGAAACGCAAGCTGGGCGCCGGGACAGCCGGCTTGTCCCAGGCAGATCTACTATGTACGTCTAGCTTTGATTTCGAGGACCTGTAAGCATCGCACCGATTTTGCACCAAGTTGTTTTTGGTCCTGTTTTGATCGAACAATATTCGTTTCAGCACGAAAGGCATCAACTCACCACAAACGCGCGTAATCAGCCGTCAGGAGCCCACGGAGTGTTTGCATTTTTTGCTCCTACTTGTCCAATGTCTGCAATTCTGAGCAGCTTTGGCTTTGCAATTGGTGAATTGATAGTTGCAGTTGACACATGTTTCTTTTTTCGCATTTGTCTCATAATTTGATTGAGATGCGTGCAAGTCTGTGTGTCTGCGTGTCTTGTCATTTTTTGAGCGGCTTTGCAAGCAGTAGCCACGCGCATCACACACACACACACACCGCACCTTGTGCGTGGCGACTCATCCCCAACATTGGGGATAACATCAGGTGCGTGTGGCTTTCTGGGTCCGAGTTTGCTCCCACTAAAAATATTTGCAACGGGTTCGGGTAGGACTGCTTCCACGCCTGCCAGTTCCATTTCCGCGATTGCAAGCAGCTTCCTGGCGCGAAGTCGAAGTCAAATGGAAAGCTTGCCCATGGGTTGAAGGAACCAGTTTTGCTGGTTGTTTTTAGGTTAGTTTGGTTAAACATAGATGGTTTGCACTGGTTAAGATTGGCTCTATGCCATTTCTCCAAGGACTCATGTGGCCTTGCTGGTTTGCAGCCCAAAGCAAATCGACCTGAAATGACTTGAAGTGGTTTTTTGATTTTGTTGGGGGAACCATTTTTCGTCCTTCTGCTGGCGTGAGGTAGGGAATGCACAGGAGTGAGTCAATGGATCTGTTGGGAAACTGGAGGACGGTTCTTGAGCACCAGTTCGCGCGATCCAAACCACCAAGGGGTAAGGTGAACCTTTCCAGGAACGGCGGGGAGAGGGAAGGGATCCTGCGTCAGCAAAGTTCAGCCAATTGACCTTTTTCTCAGGGTCGTGTTTTTCCGCATGTCAAATAAACACGAAGGGCTGTCTCTTGCCGAACACGTTGCGAGGTGATCTGCGCAAAACAATACTGAGAGAAGCGCAAATCACGGGTCGCTCACGCCCCTTCAGGCTCGAGTGCAGCGCCTGCAAGGGTTCTCCTGCGAATTGCGATGGCATTTGGGACAGAGACTTCACGGAAGCTTCGGCTTTCTGGGCGGCGCGGGGCGGGACCCGTGCTCTCTACCTTTCTTTCAGATGTTTTTTTTTTTTTTGGGGGGGGGGTACTCAGAAGGGATTTCGGACTTCTTGGCATTCAGGGAGAAACGTTTTTTGAAAAAGCACTCTTTTGTGTTCCTTTGGCTCTCTCGTGGCAGTGGATTTGGGGGCCGGCAGTTTGCAGGGCTGCAATTAGAACCACATGTCAGATAACTTATGCTTGGTTGCTTTGGCTGGGGAAGTGGGGTCCTTTCTCTCTTGTTGTGTTTGTTGGGGCAACGTCTGGCGGGGGCGGACCCACCTATTCACCTGTCAGGTCTATGAATCCCAGGCGAACGCTGTCGCCAGTCGGGTAATTTTAAACAGTTGCGTGGCCAAATAACCTACTTACCCTCCCCTCCGCTAAGATGCAGCCTCAGATGGTGTGCACTAACTCCAGGGAAAAGTGGGAATTTACCAGCTAAGTGCCAACCAGCCACTTGAAGTGCAGCAGCCTTTGCCGTCTGAGGAAAGCGACAGGCGGGGCCTGTGTTAACCGGCGCCGGTGTTCCTTTGATTTCCTAGATCGTTGAAAAAAACTGAGCCATATACCTCTCTTTTTGGTTGCTGGGGTTCTCCACTTAACATACAAATTTAGTTGCGCGTGCCCCAAACGAACTTAACATGCAGGATTGAATCCCCATCCATCCCCAGTCGCCAAACCTCTTGTCAGGTCCTTGTGGACATGCTCTGAATATCTGACTGCTTCATTGTGGGAGACGGAATCAACCACATCCAGCCTGCAAGATCCTCGTTGGGTCCTTCTGCCAACGTTCCTCGTGTCCCGTTTCATGGTTGGAGAAACGATTTGTTGGACCGATGTTTGCATACCCAGGCGATTGAACTGAAGGGGATGTTCTGGAAATTGTAGTAAGCAACCGGACCCCACACCCCAAACCACGGTGTGTCACGGCCACTTTGTCTGATACCAGGAGAATGTCTTTTTGAAGTGATGAAGTAGTTGGTGCAAAGGGATCCCAGTTTGGTACCACAGGTATCGGGTGACGCCCCAGTTTATCACAGATTTGAGGAGATTTCGAAGTGGCCAGGCTCTACTTCTTCGACGCTTGCACATTCGGGTGCCAGCACTACGTACACCTGAAGAGCGGCCAGGGCGGTGGCCCCGCGTGCAAGGCGCGGACATCGGGTGCACCCTCGCATTAAACACCCACAAACACCCCACGCAAAGACCAAAGCAGGCAAGCCTCCAATTCAACAACCACCCGGCAAATATCAGGGACCGTTGTCAAGCAGGGGATCCATAAAGTAACACGCGCAAGAAAGGTGTCCTTCAAGACGGTTTCGACATGCGGGTACGGGAGCAACAACATGTGCAAATTAGTTTACGGCTTCACAGATTCGGCTTGGTGAGCTCACCCAGAACAAAAGTCCTTTACAAGGGAGTTCGCGATTATAGGAAGTTGTCCAGATGTACAACCCTCCCAAGAGAATGGCTGGAAAGGAATCACCCCCTTTAAGGATTAGTGAGGGGCTATCAGCTTGGATATCACCAAAAAAAAACGTTTTCTCTTGGGTGGAGGTACTATGTCACCACATGTGCCAGGTCAATGGAAATTCTCGAATGCATTTCTGGGACATTGTGCCATTTCATGTGTTGTTGTGACGGGGCCTTATCAGAAAGGCGTTTGTTGTGTCTTTTGTGCAGTACTGTAGGCGTTTGTTGGAGTTTTCCTGCCTGGCGCGACTGGTTTGGGCACATGTTTGGCGCTTGATTTCCTTCTGTTCCCATCGGTGTTGCGCATCTTAGCTGCAACAATTCCTAAACTTTGATATGCTCCAACTGACTGCGTCTGCTGGTGATTGATGCGTTTCGGGCGCGAAAAACTATCACTTTGACAAAGCATAGCTTCATCGGCGTCCCAGGCTGCTTTCCTGCTTCGGTAGTTGATTTGGGCACACTTTTGGGCACTTGATTTGTACGCGTCCTCATGGTGATTTCACATCACAATTGCAAAACACAAACGGCTACAAAGTGGCCTTTCTACGCTTGCGTCCTCGTGCGGTTTCGTAACTTTTGGGGTGACTTCAGGCGACTTCACTTCCCCGCGGCGTCCCATGCGGATTTAAGCTTCCCGAGAGATTTGGGGTAGTTTCCGCGGTTGGGTGTAAGTTTTTGAAAGAGCGGCTCCGTGCTCAGCAGGTGATCTTTTTACCTTGACCCAAGCCCGGCCGGTTTGTCGATTCCGCCTTAAAACAACCCTTTTTCAGCAACGTGACGTCAGCAAAAGGAACCGGTTGTTTCCCTTAAGCCCACCACTGAGTGGGGGAAAATATTGAGAAGCGACAGCCATGACTCATTCGGCTTTTAGAAAAGGAAGCACCTCCCCGACAAGGCTTTGGCTTGGAACCATTGGCGACTGCATTCTTGCTGGCCAATGATCACTGCAGGTGGGCAGCATGCGGACGCAGAAGCGCACCATCATGAAGAAAGATGGGGTTAACCCGCCTTGGTAGGTCCTCTACTTGGAGATTTTGAATATGCTTGCCAACCTTTGCCTGCAGCCAGCTGCCTTTTAACATAGATCCATTTGAAACCACACCTGCAGCCACTACATGCTCCACAAATGCGTTTGATTCTGTCGGAGAGAAAGGTCTAATGCAATAGCTGCGGCTGCAAGCAACAAGGCCCCCCCCTGTTTCTTGGCCTTTCAGCAGCCTCGATACACGGATCCCGTGCGGCAAAAGCGCGGCAGATTGAGCGGAGTGCTCGGACTGGTCGGGTGGGTTGCGCTGATCCTTTTACAAAGTATGAACCAGAATCAAACATATCGTATTTTGATCGGCGCCAAAAATTCAGGTGGGCGAGTGATGCTGAGTTTCAACTTAGTCTTCAACAAGGGGGCATGTTCAGTGCCCAAAAAACACGCATGTCGGAGAATCGCCGTCCCCTAAACAATTGGCTTCCCTTTTGGTTTCCCGAACCAGTCCAAGCAAAAGAGCGCGCGCACCCCTGGGCTCATCTGCGAGCCCTCACAACAGCCCAGGCCGCCGAGACTCCCGAGCGTCCCCATCCTAACCGTCGCTTCCTTTTCTGCCGTTTCGGAAGA